AGGGAGGCTCAGGGGGGGGGCGGAGGACGCGCCGACGGCAACATGACGGCGGGTACCGGACTCTGTTGGTCGGGACCGGCCGAAGGCGAGGGAGCGGACTTGAACCCCGGCGCTCACGCAACCAAGCCGGCGACAGCTGCCCCAGCCCGCTCCGCGCCGGACGACGCGCTGGGCGTCCCCACGCCCGTGACGTCAGCACGCCACGGACGTCCGGCCCCGCCCACACCGGTCGCGCTCTGCTCTGGAGCCCGCGCCACAGGGCCTTGGGTGCAGAGCAAGTCCGAGTTAAAACTCTCAAACGCTGGTAATTTGTCTGGCTTTCATTTTTGTTCATCTCTTTTTGGGATGCGTCATTAAGATTGTGAGCTTAAGGATGATGGCTTCGAATGCCTTGAGTACCTGCGTGCCTTTTCTTTTATAAGCTATTTAACGTGCAGTGCCTTCTATCTGAAAGCCTGATTTATTTGAGACGCATTAAGGTCATTTGGGGTGATGGCTGTGCAGTTTTCGAGAGGACAGAAAATGCAAGTTGCTTTTGTCTTCTGGTGACTTTGAAGGTAAACTACTTATGCCTCAGGAATTAGTGCCCTTCAGAGAGAGTGGCTCCGTCACCTTGGCTGAGCCACGTGTTTTTTTTTCTTTTTTGACTCTGAGTATCATTAATAATTGATGTGCCCCACAGTCACCGAGCCAAGTACACACTCAGAGCCAGAGCAGTCAGCAATGCACATGCTCTTTGTGAGGCACCATGGGCTTTGGACAAACTACTGGAGAAACGGAAGGGACTCTCAAGTCAAACACCCTGTTTCTGGGGGGTCAGGATCTTTTTGTACCTGCATCACCTGGAGATTATTAAAAAGCAAACTCTTGGGACCAGCAGTTGACACAATGGCTATGTCACTGGACTCCCATGTAGTCGACTGCAGTTGGAGTCCCTGTCCTGGTGGCTTAAACTCACACTGGGTGCATGTGCGTGTGTGCCCAAGAGCCTGAGAGGAGAATGGAGGAAAAGGGATTGCAGGGTAGCCATCCCCCCTGGGGAGTGATTTCTCACTTTCTGTATCTGTCCCTATAGCAAAAACTTTTATACTGCCCCCAAAGAAAAAAACCCCCACAAAAAAAAAAAAAAAAAAAGAAACGGACTCTTTAGTCCTGAGCTAAACCTACTGAATCACATGTGAAATACATGAAAATACGTATTTAAATTTGAGAACCTTTGTCCTGGAGAACAATACCAACATTCTGGCTAAGGAATGATTTCCAGTATTGACAAAAGTTAAAGAAGGTGAAGGTAAGAGCCAGAAAGGACTTGGGGGTTCCATCTTGGGGTGGAATTACAAGAAATCAGAATGTGAACTAATGAAGACCTGGGACACTATTAAAGGACCTTAGGAGAGAGGGAAGGGCAATTTAGAATGAGTCATAGAAGTTGGTGACCCAAGAGCATGTAGGTGTAGATGTAAAAGTAGAAGAGCAAAGTAGCAACTACTTGCGTTTCAATGCATTACTGCACATGTTCAACATCTGCAAAATCTTTCTTGCTCCCAGTTTTTTTCCCCAAGACTTTCACTGTATCTTGATCTGCCTCTACTGTAGCACTTTTGCCGTCGACTCCTAATTAAACTGTCATAAGTGCTTGTATTCTACCACTGGGCTACATGGCTTCCCCAAAAATGTCAGCAGCCATATTCTGTTTATAATTACATACTCTTGACTGACATACATAGAGGTATAGCACATTCTTTCAATAGATCTATAAATAAAATACTATAGTTATGTGTTCAAGAAAACAAAACAGATAAAACAGAACTAGTTCTTAAACACTTTACACCCAAGCTTGGAAATTATCCTTTAAGAAACAGGTTTTCAGCTTTTGTTTTTGTTTTTAGTTTTTTTGCCATTGGTCTTGCGCACTCTCCGGGGTGGGAGGAGGAGCGAGATATCACCCCCCATACACTGGGGAGACGGGGTGGGAGGAGGAGCGAGATATCACCCCCCCATACACCGGGGAGACGGCGTGGGAGGAGGAACGAGGTATCACCCCCCATACACCGGGGAGACGGCCACTACACAATCCAGTCTCTATTCTCCTCTCAGGATTTTGGACATGCATCCAAGCACCCCATGAGACTTGAACATGAGTTGGCCATGGGGGAGACCAGCACCTTAACCACCATGTCACCTACTGCCCCCCTTCTATGTTTTTATTAGGACCATAAAATGAACAAAAGCAGGATTCTGCAGAGCCGACAACATGGAGGTGAGCGGCACCTGGGAGGCCTTGATGATAATGCAGGAGAGAGCGGTAGGTGCTTAACCTTGTCTCAGAACAGAGAAGGGCTGAATCTTAACTACAGGAAATCCCTGGAATGTGTTGGCTGCTGGCATCTGTTAGTTATGTAACTCTAAGGTTGGAACAAGGAAGCCGTCTGGGGGAACTGTAGACAAGGTGGGAAGGAATGCTGTTTTAGGGAAGGGGTGTGAAGAGAGGATGTGAGTTTCTCTTTGACATATTGAGCTTGAGGTGACATCCAAGAGAGACATCCCATTGAACAGAAGGCAGCTGGGCACACCTGGCCAAAGGTGGGCCCAGGGATCTCAGGGGGAGATTTGGGAATCTTTGGCTCAGGGACAGAAGCTGAAGCTGGGTGTCAGAACATTCTGAGGACTGGAGTGCAGCCAGCAAACGGGAAGTTGGAGAGAAAGAAGATCCAGAGGGCACAGTGCCCCGGAAACCAAGCAAAGATTTGATTCCAAAAAGCAGACATCTCTGCTTACATTAGTTAAAAAGTATGCAGCTCCCAGAAGCCCTGATGTAGTCTGGCCCATGATGATATTTTTTGGTTCGTTTGGTTTTGTTTGGTTTGGTTTTCTATCTCTTTGGTCTTTTGGTTTTGTACTATTGCCAGAAATCAAATCAGCAGCCAAGCATTCTGAGAAGGGACAGCTGAAAGTCAGGAATAATGGTGTCACAGTGCATGCGTTTTAAGTACCATAGCTAAGGGTTTTGTTTTCCTGATTTGTGCACACAGGATTTGGGTAGCACCATTACAGATCCGCCTTTTCCTACCAGACCCTCTGGATAAGAGTTCTGCCTGAGTCTCTCTCTTACCCCCACTGCTGAGAGCAATGATTCTGCCACCACCTTCCTTGACACTTCATCTAAGAACATTAGCCTGTCCTGGACTGCTGCTTCTCCATCCTCTCTTGCAAACACTTTTCTGCTGTCCATCCCCTCTGCCAGTGCTCCTTACGTGAAGCCCAGTTTGGACTAGAGGGAACTGGGATTTAGCCATCCCATCAGTGCCCACACTACGTAGCCCTCGTCCTTGCATGTTGTGTGTGGCAGACTCAGAAATGAGCTGTCTGGGTCCTTTTTAAAGATAAGATGTACTTCCTTGGCATTGGAGTCACTTCAGTATTTGAGCTCAGCATTGAGTTGAGGTCATGCTTTTGTCAGGGTGCAGAGCAGGTAAAGTGAACTTTTTTTTTTTTTTTTAAGTTTTTGCCATGGAGCATGTATACTCACCAAAGAGAGATATAGAAAGGTGAGAAATCACCCCTCAAGAGAGTGGCCATGCTGCAATCCCTTCCCCAATCATCTCTCAGGATTTTAGGCACACGTGCACAAGCACCCAGCATGATCTTCAAGCCACTGGGTTCAGGACTTGAACCACGTTCAGTCATGTGGGAGTCCAGTGCCTTGACCACCACGCTGCCTGCTGGTCCCCAAAGTGGCCTTATAACACATGAATGTGATCATGCCTCTTGCTATTTAATGCTTGTCAATAGCTCAGTGGAGTGTTCAGTCTGTAATTCAGACCCCTTAGCTTAGGAGACCTTTCATTGTCTGTTCTGGAGACTGCTCCAGTTCCCCCTTACCACACCCCTGCTCTACTTTCTCCTGGCCCTAAAGAGCACCTTAAACCCATCATCTGGGACATTCTTCCATTTTTTTCTGTACGTTGTTTTCTTTGTTGAGTGGCCTTTCCTAGACCCCTTTATTCTAGCTAACCTCTGTTTATCCTTCTAGACTGTGAGAGTGTTTAGTTTAATTAATATGCCCTGTGACCCAGTGATTATCCTCCTGGATATATATCCTGAGAATGTCTCAGAGGAGTATGTAAGGGACACGGATATGGAGGCTCATTGCGTTGTTGTCCACAGTAATGAAGATTTGGAAGCCACCAGGTATTTTTCGCTTGTAAACTGTGGTGGATTCATAGGTATACTATGGATGCTTAGCAGCAGCCTGGCTTCATCTTGAAATGTAGACTTGAGTGAAATGCTGGGTTGGCAGAAAAGTCATGATGTATTTTTTTCTATGCAAAAATGTGTCATGAGTTTTCTGACAACCCAATAGTTACGCATCAGTGTTTATAGCACAGTACTACCTGTGTAAATTCGGAACACAAACTACTGACCCGGCCTCTGCAGCACAGGCAGTAACAGACTGGACTGTGGAGCTGGAAGCCACATGCTGACCATAAGCCAAGTTTGGGCCCAGTGGGCCAGAAAACACTCTGGGCACATTTGCCTGTGCCCGGGGCTCGAGTGCCCAGTGTCCTGACAGACTGGAGGAAGAAGATCACTGTGTGATCGACCAGGCTGTGTGGAGCGTCTCTCTCTCTCTCTTGCATTCCTACACATTGTACTGTATCATGAATTTTAAAAAGCACACAGTACACGTAAAACAACATGGATCTTTACAATCACATGTAGGGCAAAGAGAGTGAAATTGCAGCAAAATGAAGGAGAAAAGTTAACAAAAGAGGGACCTTGCACAAATGGATCATAACATACTATGAACGATAAGTGAGAGTGGTTTCTGCAGTCATGCACCTGATTCAAAAAAAAACAACAACAAAAAAAGGAAAATAGAAACTATTTCCAAGGACCACTAATTCCTAAGTGGCCTTCCTTGAAGTCTAAGCTGATTTTAAGGTACTTCTAGCAAAGTGCCAGAGCTAGTTTGCATACCTCCATCATTTCTCTGAAAGGCCCATGATACATGGCAGGGAGCAGGGATTCTAAGAAATAACTGGGGCAGTTTCTAAGGAGGGCTGCTGAGGCAGGTGAGGTGAAAAACTGTGTAATTTGGGCATTAGCATGTCCTCATTTATGCCTGCAAGCTGGTCAGCCTGGAATATTTGTTACATAAGGGCCTACTAATGAGTAACAGTGCCTGCTTGTACTATTTAAAAAAGTATAAACACAGTAAACACAATGACAAGTTAGTGTTAAAAACATCATTCCCTAGCACTTAAATAGAATACTTTTTAAACGATCTTTACTGGTACATTTTCAGAATGTTTGCCATTAAAAATAGAAATTCTTTGTCCCATGGTGTTTTATTCCTTCTCAGAAAATGATTAAAAGATTAAAATAATACTAGAAAGGTCATTTTCCACATCCTATTAGAGAAATAGCTTTTAGCCCAATTTGCCTGAAATAGCTCTGCTTCCAGTTTAGTCCAGTATTTGTTCCAAATTTTAAATCCTGCACTGAGATGATTCACTTTTAATTAGTATACATTTTAGTGCTTCAAGGTAATTGCCAGCAAATTTCATTTATAGGAAATCACCGTAAGGCTATTCCCTTCTCCCCAAAGCTTATTCCCAAAGGTCATAATGATGCAGCTTGATGCTCTCGTTGCACAGTTTTCTTTTTCCCCTTACTAAATATTTATATCAACAATATACCCTTTTGTTTTACTTTGTTTCGTCTCATTCCATTTTATTTCTGCCATTGCTTACTTGTGACTCAGGGCTCTCTAGTTCTTATGAGGCATAAAAAGCACAGACTTTGGATTTAGAAAATCTGGATTTTAATCCTGCTTTCCCTCTTACCTGATCTTTCAATGATCTTTGACTCTCTGGACTTGATTTTCCTCAGTTTAAAAATGAAGAAACACTTCTTTGTGTCTCCTTGAGGCAATTGTTCTCAACCATGACTCAACTTTGGAATAACCGGTGCATTGGTCTGCTCTTGCGTTGCTAGACAGAAATATCTGAGAATAGGTGAACTGAGTCTTGGGGCCAAGAGGTGGCATGGTGGTTAAGGCGCTAGATCCCCATACAGTCAGCTGTAGTTCCGGTCCTGACCAGGAGGACAGAAACTCACACAGGGCATGTGAGCATGCATGCTCAAAAAATCCCAAGAGGATAATGGAGGAGAGAGGAGATTGCAGCATGCCCGTCCCCCTCTGGGATGTAGTTTCTCACTTTCCCTCTCTCTGTCTCTGTCTCTCTCTCTCTCTAGTGAGTATACGCACCCTATGAGGGAAAAAAGTAAAAAAGAAAAAGAATTGAGTCTTATTAGCTCAAAGTTTTTGTAGCTCGATATTCCAATACGGTGGGACTGGCATGGAAGCCCTTTGTGCTATACTAAAACATTGTGGAGAAAAGTGGAAAGGTCAGCAGATGTGCAGAGAAAGACCTAGAGGCAGCCATCTTCCTTTTCTAACAACCAGCTCTTGCAGGAACTAACACCTTCTCATGAGAGCAAGAACCCACTTCTTCTCATAAGACAGCAGTAATCCATTTGTGAGGGTGATCCTTTCATGACCCAAGCACCACTCACTAGGCCTCATCTCTTAAAGGTTTTATGCCCTCCCCCGCTCCCCCCATTGCCATTGCATCGGGGATCAAAAACCCAAATGGGAACTTTTGAGAGACTAACTACTATTCAAACCATAGAACCGAGGGAACCTTAAAAATACCAATACCCAGATCCCACTCGCAATCTTCTGATGTATTGGGTTGTTGGAAGAGTCATGATGCATTTTTGCATAGAAAAACATAGGAAAAAATATGTCATGACTTTTTTGACCACCCAGCAGTTGGTTTGTAACCTGCCCTGGGCAGTGGTGTAGTTTCTAATGTGCAGCCGAGGTTGAGCTCCGTTTCCTCTGAGAACAGAGGAAACAGGGCAAGGCTCTTCAGAGCCTCATATCCCACGTCAGACTATTTCTGTTGCCAGTTAAGCCTCTCTGTTTGGAGACCACAGCACTCTGAATTCCAGAGTAATTTTCTCATTCACATGGTAGCCAAAGGAATTGGAAACACTCATGAGGATAAATGAAAAGGGTAAGCCTGTAATCTGGAAGGTCACCACCCAGCCCTTTCTGTGCCAACTAGGACAGTGTGCAAGGCACACTGTCCTGATCAATCCAGGAGCCAAATGCCTCAGTCGTCTGCACTTTATAAAGAGAATTACAAATGGATAGGGAGCAAAATCCTGAGATAATAAGGTTAAGTCTTCTCGATTAAATCAGACAAAACAGCTGGAAACCCTTCCTTAGAA